AGATCATGGCCACTGGCCCCATCAACTCCTGGCAAATAGAAGGGGAAGATATGGAGGCAGTGACAGATTTTACTTTCTTGGTCTCCATGATCACTGCAGATGGTGACAGCAGCCACAAAATTAAAAGACGCCTGCTTCTTGGAATGAAAGCGCTGACAAACCTAGACAGCATCTTAAAAATCAGATACATCACCTTGATGACAAAGGTCTGCATAATCAAAGCTATGGTTTTTCCAGTAGCGATGTAGGGAAGTGAGAGCTGGACCACAAAGAAGGCTGACCGCCGAAGTATTGATGCTTTTGAATTGTGGTGCTGGAGGAGACTCTTGAGAGTCCCCTGTACTGCAAGGAGATCAAACCTCTCCATTCTAAAGGAAATCAATCCTGAGTGCTGAATGGAAGAACAGATCCTGAAGCTGAGGCTCCAATACTTTGGCCATCTCATGAGAAGAGAAGACTCCATGAAAAAGATCCTGATGTTGGGAAAGTGTGAAGGCAAGAGGAGAAGGGGACGACAGAGGATGAGATGGATGGACAGTGTCACTGAAGCTACCAACATGAATTTGACCAAACTCCGGGAGGCAGTGAAAGACAGGAGGGCCTGGCGTGCTTAACGACTAAACAACAACAGCAACAAATTATTTTCTCCATAAGCAATATATCCAGAAACAGGGGAGTGGGGAGTATAATAGTGTTTAATCCATCCTTCCCAAATATACAAAGAATCAGTGCTGTAGTTTTTACCAAACTTACTTGCCTTCAAATTATTTTTAAAAATCATAACGATTTAGGATTTTTAAAACAATTGAGTTTCAGGGAAGCATAAACTTCATGCATGTTTTAGACGGGTAAAAGAGGCCTTTTTGGCCAAACAGCAAAACCTGGAACTAACTCAAAAATCTCTGATGCCAAATCCTATGATCTAATCACTAGCTATCATTATATTTATCAAAGGGAAGATTTATGTTGTAAGCATGCCAAAATGTGGTAAGGCTTTTTGAAACAAAGATGTGGCCTATCTGCAAAATACAGCGGTTCATCTCTTTAATAGCCTTTTAATTAAAGCTTCTCTGTATTCACAAACCAATGGGGGTTATTGTTCTTCGTTTGGGAGATGGGGTTAAGAGTCAAATCCCAATCCTTTAAGTCTACGTGAGAAACTGTGATTGGGGAAGGTATTAAGGAATACTGCCAATTTATAACTGAAATAGGTTTGGTGCCTGTTATATGATGATGATAATGAAGCACACTAGAAGACTCCAGGCTGCTCATACTCTCAGCCATACCCACACCACAGCATTGTTGTGAGAGTGAAGTAAAAGTAAATGTAAGCTTCCCTAAGTTCACTGGAACCAGTAATTTAATGTTTAGCTACTTCACAGATACTGGAAATTGTTATTTCAACTCTAGCTATAAATGAACCTACAGTACAACATGCTTGCTGAATTTATTCACTTATTCTTTTCATATCAAATACCTCAACTTGATTGCTTATTTTTGGTTGCACTTAATTATATTAAAATTCCAATGTAACAATTACGACAGCAGTTACCCAAATGCTGATGTTTTTTACTATCAGCTCAGCATATTCAAAATTTAATTTTAATTGTGGTATTGTGATGAAAAAAGATTTTTTTCAAAATCATCAGAGCTCTTATTTGCTTGCTGAGGATACCACTCAATCACAACTACAATTTGATAAACTTTCTTTTTTAAAAAAAACAACAAGCAATTTTGAGTTTGCTTTGATGGTGGGACTTTCACTATGACTTGCTTGATTTGACTTCGGGGTTCTTGAAGAATTTTGGTTGCTTGCCGATAATAAAAAGAAAAGGCTGTAACTATACCAACACATCTGGGAGAACAACCTATCAAAATCAACATAACCTTGTATTAAATACACGCAGAGAGGATTATGCCACAAGTCTGATATTCATTGGCCACATTTATTTATTTATTGGACTTATATACCGCCCCATAGCGCTACAAGCACTCTCCGGGCGGTTTACAATTTTAATTATAAAGGCTACACATTGCCCCCCCAGCAAGCTGGGTACTCATTTTACCGACCTCGGAAGGATGGAAGGCTGAGTCAACCTCGAGCCGGCTACCTGGGATTTGAACCCCAGGTCGTGAGCACAGTTTTAGCTGCAGTACAGCGTTTTAACCACTGCACCACGAGGCTCTTAATGGACTTTGCATCGAGCCCTGACTCTGCCTGGAGTATATTCTTCCTCCAGGATATATTTCCTACGCTAGAGTTCAACCCTTGGACTGAAATGCCCTTTCCTCTTGTTACTACAGTATTTATAGTAAGAAAACAACAAAATCTACAATAAAATCAATTACTTGCAGACCTCCCTCCCCTACTGAAATATGGTTTTATACAATCAGTTTATACAGTGACACTCCTTCTTGCACAAGTGCTTACGTACAGTGCTACCATTTGTCTCATTCTGCCTATGCCTCTTGACAGAAATGTCAAGTATTCTTATAGTTCAGGGGTGGGAATTGTAGTCTTCCAGCTATTGCTAGGGTGCAACAACCATTAGCCACAGGTAACGTAGCCATCTGTAAGAGTTATGGGTCACTGCCCAGAAACATCTGGGACCCTGCACATTTAATGCAATTGTTGAAAACAACAACAAATAAATAAATGAAGACATTTCTGATCCCAAGCCAATTAATTGTTTCCATCAGCACCAGGGGAACTCAGGCACACACACACAAAAAGATGATTATGACAAAATTAGGGGCATTGTATGCGCTGTAAATCTACTTAGGAGCATACACATCGTTTCCATCAGCACCAGAGGAACTCAGGCACACACACACAAAAGATGATTATGACAAAATGAGGGGCATTGTATGTGCTGTAAATCTACTTAGGAGCATACACATCACAGAATCCTACTCTGCAGACACCTTCCCTTCTCATGCTACCTCACAGTAATCCGTACTATGAAAACCCCCCATACAAGTGCTAAAAGCAGAGAAGCTCCAAGAACTATTGAAGAAAGAGGTGCAGTACAGTAATGGTACTGCAGTTGCCTCTCAGAAAGGATCTAGCACTGGAGGCAGAATTAACACAGAGAGAACTACTTGCAACAGGACCGTTTTGAGAGCTCCCTATGCTCAACACTATGTACCAGAAAAGGAGGTGGCCTAGTTTTTAAAAAAATGCAACCTAAGTCCGAAAACTGCTATCATTATAAAAACAACCACCACCCAGCATTCTTGTCCACTGAGATACAGCTAACATCATATTTCATCGTATTAATGCTATAGGGATACTGTACTGTAAAGCCCACTACAGACTCCTTCTTATACTGGAATGAATATGGTATCAAGCATATAGAAAAAGCTGTCACAATAGAAACCTATCCTAATCATAATCTTGATTTTTTTTTTTAAAAAAAGGAGCTCCTTAAGAGGGATTATGAGCCAAATACCTACAGGCTTTTCAACCACAAACGCCAACCTGCTTGAAACGTGCTTGCAAAGTAATGACAGAAAGTGCTACACACAAGAAAATACTCAAAGAAACAGATCAGCACAGCCAATTTCCCAGGAGAAACAGAAGATTATCACAGGCTGAGGAAGATTAATATAGACTGTGCAAAATGCAATACTGCCAGCACTGATGGAGCAGGGCGGGGGGGGGGCGTGAAGAACCAGTCACAGGCACTCAGACAAGCTGACTCTGCACCAACACTTCAATATATGTTGGGCCTTTTGCTGGACTCCCTGATGGTTAGTAACTAGTTATATTTTTAGCTGTTAAGAAATGTTTGCATACCTAAAAGCTCTGAACATAAAGGAGAAAGACATTTAATGCCTCATATTTCATATAAATGAAGGAGAAAATAAATGCTGCCTCCTTGTACAGTAAAGGCCATTTCCTAAGCAAAATCTAGTAGACATTCAGTCAGTCATTCTATAATGTAAATTAGTCTGCCCAAAGACCCTTTTTAAACATGTCTTTAGTTCCTGAAAAACAGTTAGCTTTCCTTTTGGCAAATTTTTCTTTTAAAGTTTGGGAACATACATTTTAAGTAGCTCATAAGGATTCCCTTTTCAATTAGGCAATTTTGATGCATCAGTGACTGTTTTGGGCAGCTTTTAATAACAAAATGTCTCTGGCTTTAAAGAATGTATATGGAAAGTTTTATACTTAAATCATTGCTACCAAATGCTTGTTTTCCCCATTACAATGAAATATTAATAATCCATTTACTTTCTGCACTTAATGTAGAGGTCTTACATCATTGTGCAAATAACACAGAACACACTGTTTCACAAAATGAACTGATTAGAATGCAATACTAAACACATATGCTACACAGTGAAGTCTACTGAGCTTAATGAGACTTACTTCCAGGTAAACATACTTAGGATTGCAATGTTGATTTTAAAAATATTCTTCCATTTAAGCACAGAGGAAGCTGCCCCACACTGGAAGACCCATGGTCCATTCAGCTTTGTACTCATTTAAGACTCACTGGCACTGGAATGCCAAAGTTTCAGACAGCAATTTCTTCTTACTTAGAGATGCTGGAGGTTATACCTGGAACCTTCTAAATAAAAGTAATGAAAACAGTTCCTACCATCTAGTCCAAACAGACTGTGCAGTGATCAAATAATTCTCCCTAAAATGACCACTTTAAAACATCACTAAGGCAGCTAATATGGTATCAGTACAGAGATTTACTATGGAATAGAATAAATGTTTGGGATGCTCCTTTATATTAGGATATATAATTTGCTTTCAGCAATTTTTCCATGTTTTGTATTTAGTGTTGGTGTGTTAATTTTAACTCCATAGACATGGATCAGCAAATAATTAAGCACCATTATTCAAAGGATGAGCACATCAAGCCTTCTGTTCTTGACCAAAATTCTCTAACATGTGATAGCAATTTATTTACAAATGCATACAAGAGATCAACTGAAATATCTAGTAATCAATTCTATAAGGTGGAAAACATCTCATATCTTACCTGCTGGCAAGTATTTCAGCTGATTATTGGCCAATCGAAGGTGGCGCAAAGATCTCAAACGGCCAATCTCTGGGCAAACGATTTCAAGGGCATTGTCACTCAAGTCCAGAAACTGGAGTTTAACCAGGGACCCAATTGCTTCAAGGAAAAAATGAAATACATTTGACATGAGTGCAAAGACCTTATCAGAAGAATGAAGCGAACTTTCACTACTGTTTATCCTTAGATGTCAAAGGAACTGACAAAGAGCAAAAGGGTGTCACAACTGAATATGACAGAGTTTTGATTAGTACTTTGACAGCTTAGAAAAGCAACATGGGAGAGGACTGAAGAGATGTGATGAGGTGAATTTTCTCCAACCATAATCCTTATCATTTGTCTGCTTATATTCAGTTCATGTAACCAATGAAGTAGGGACATGGCCAAGAAGTAAATATCTCTCAACAGAGTGCAAATTAGTGTTGATTAATGATGTGGGGTAGGGAAAAAAACCTGGGAATTTTTTTTCCAGTGCTTAGATTTTACCATTTCTTTAAAAAAATCATTTTTAGAAAATGTATTAATATATTAGGCAAACTTGAGTTTCAAAGTTAGCTGAATCAATGAAATCATCACTTATATTTTTAAGCAAGATTTTAAATTAAAACCCCACTGCTGATTTGAGATTATTTTTGTATGGGACTATGCTAGATATTTTTGTGAGGTAACAAATGTGATTTACACACAGAGTGGTAAAGTAAAACTGCAAATACACATAATAATACAGACCAGTGTCAAGCTATAAATATATAAGTTAGGTGAGTAGCTTAGATCACATTCCAAGTTGAATCCAATTAATTGTTTCCCCATTTCTGCACACACAATTGTATCAATTTCTTTTTTTGAGCTTGAGATGTTTCCTGCAAAAACTCTAACTGCTCCATCACACTGGGTTACCATGTTAAGATTCTTGGCCTTATCATGGCGACACATGGTTCAACAATGTGGTCTACATTTACCAGGCAAGAATACAGACAGGCTGAGGACCCTTGTGAAGGAGCTTAGGCTAAGAAAGAGAACATAGGAAGTCTGATAGCTGAGCTGAAGCCATTTCAGCCCAGTTCTAGTCCTAGTCTGATGCACTGACAACTACATCATATATTTCATTACAATACCTATGTCCTGCTGGGACATTAAGACGTGTTATTAAATGTAATTCAAATAAATAAAATTGGATCACACTGAAATTAGGGCCCCAGGAAAAAGGTCCAGAATAATGTCCAATTCATAATGTTGCAGCATGTACACGTTACAGAAGACAGAAAATCTATGTTAAATAACTCCCAGGAAGCATTATCAAGCTATCCACCTTTAAAAGAGAATTTTTTAAAAAAATGTAATTCCTAGGGTTATTGCTGGGTTATTTCATTTGTTAAGCTCACCGCAAGGAAAAAACAACTTACCTAGCAACGGATGGCTGGAAAAATAAATAAAACGGAGACACACTACATGTGCTGCATAAGTTATTAATCACTCAACAAGCTGAAGTAAAACTATATGCCTCCTTCAGAAGCATTGTTTTACTAATAAACATCACTTCTACTTTTTCAGTTCTCTAATTAGAAGCAAAGCATGCATAGTTCAAACATACTGGAGTTAAAATCCATGTTGTGTTTAATAGAAAAGCAAATTAAAGTCTGTGCTTTTAACTTAATACCAGAAACTTCTCATTTTGAACTCAATATAGTAGTTACCTTCAGGTACGACAACAATATTGTTTGAATGGAGGTACCTGGGAGAAAAACAGAACATACCAGATGTTACCTTCAAGGGCTGGGTATGAAAGCCAGTTATCAAAACATTTGTATGACAGTATAAGAAACATGAGGAAAAAAAAACAGCAGAGATATTTTCCTGGTTCAGAGCTCATAAGGAAAACTGTGATTAACAGGATTGTCAAGTGTTTTTGATCTAAGATAGAATTGCGCTTTCAAACTCTTTCCTTAAACAGATGTCCTCTTCTGTAGTATAGAGATTAGATCAATCATTTCACATTTGTTAACCGGCTGCTCTGCATATTATGTAACTACCACTGTATACAGGCTGAAATCTATAGCATAGTTAATTGCAACTAGACTAGGCCCACTGAATCAGTGGGGATTTGGTGAGTCAACTGGTCTGTAAGTGCCATTGATTCAATGGGCCTACTTAAGATGCAACTTACTCTAAGCCCCAGGATTTTAGCCATAGTCTCTCATATATTGCTTTGTAGGGAGGAATCCAAAAGGCAGAGGCAAGCAATCAATCTACTTATGCTAGCATTTACTACTTTTGTTCTGTGTGTAAACATTTTAATGGAGCTATATATTTACAAGATTCCCAGTGTGGTATAATGGACTTGGACTCTGGAGAACAGGGTTTGAATCCTTTCTTGGTCATGGAAACTCACTGGGAGAGCGGAACTGGGAAAGCCACTACTTAAAGTAGATCTCAGGAACATGTGGATTGTTTTTTAAAAGTTACAAAATAAGACTTAAAAGTAGATCTCAGGAACATGGGGATTGTTTTTTAAAAGTTACAAAATAAGAGCCATCTGCTTTTTAGCTACTCAAGCATAAATTCAAGAGTATGAAATGAATAAAGCTTCAAAAGGTTTCACATTTTGCAGCAAATATTTTTTTCAAAAAATGAGAATACTCTGACATACTTTAGCATTCAGAAAAATCTTAACATGAAGATTCTTTGGTATTGTGTAGAAATGCTGCTTTAGTTTTTTCTTTTTTAAGAAATGTCAATATTCTACAAAAATAACAATAAAACATAGGTCTATGGCCAAACCTAATCAAGGTAAATTCAGATTGCAAGGGGTTAATTTAGAAGCATTGAATGATTTGTGTCTGACTTGGGAAGAGCTTTTCCCCTTTTACTTTTTAACTGTTTTAATTGCTTTAACATAAGTCTATGCTTTTTAACAGTATCTGTTTTAATTTATGTTGTAAGTCATATAAACAGTTTGGATCTTGTAAAGATAAAGTCAGACATAAAATAAATAAATTTAGCTTTTGAAATTATTCTTATTCCCATGTGGCATGCAAGTTTGTTTTGGAACAAAGAAGCTCTGGAGTCCCATTTGATACCTAAGGCAGGTCTTAAAATCCCAATCTACAGTATGTTTAATATGGCAGAGGCTGATAAAAGTTTATATAGTGCTCTCTGGTGGGCAATACTTGCAATTGCTACCACTTAGGGAGAGATCTCTATGAATTTTCTTCATGCAGAGCTTTGCTAGAATTTTCAAGAGTGTTAAAACAGACAATCACGTCTTTAAAAATCAAGTTATTTTGCTTATCCTAAAGAAATTATTGTCATTAAGTTTAGGACTACCATATGAATTCTTTTGGCAGCATTACTCTATCAGGCCTACCACATCAAAAACAAGTATCTCCCACCTTGCTACCATAGGTGTTATTTAACATCTACGTAAAATTGCTGGAAGAGGTTCTCCATAGTTTTAAGGTCTGGCACATCAATATGCTAATAATACCCAAGTGTTTCTCTTCTTTCCACTAACTCCTGTTCAGAACCTGGTCTGCTGTCAGTAATATACTGAAGGAAACAAACAATCTGAAACTCACTCCAGACAAGACAGGGTGCTCCTCATCAGTCAAAAGACAAAATAGATGATAGGGGCTCAGCCAGTACTGGATGGTGTTACATTCCCTCCCTGAAAGGTTAGGTTCACAGGTAGGGGTGTGCTGCTGAATTCAGCCCTGTGCCTGAAAACACAGATTTCGGTAGTGGCCAGGAGTGCATCTGTACAGTTAAAACTGATGCACGAACTGTGCCTGATCCTTGAGATGTCTGATTTGCCTACAGTGACACACATCTTATTTGTTTGTCGTTTCGGTTACTGCAACTTGCACTATGTCAGAATGCCTTTGAAAATTGTTCAGAAACTTGAGTTGGTTCAATATGCTACAGTCAAACTACAACTAGTTATAGGGAACATATACCTCTCATATTACACCAGCTCCATTGGCTGCCAATCTGTTTCTGGGCCCAATTCAAAGTGCCACTTAATGACCTATGAAGCCCTCTATGGCTTGGGCACCGGCTATTTGAGGGCCGTATCACCCAATATGAGCCTTCTTGATCTTCTGAAGAGACCTTTCCCACCCACACTTGTCTGGTGACGACATGGGAGAGGGCCTTCTCAGTAGCTGTTCCCAGGCTTTGAGATGCCCTGTTCCTAGAAGCAAGGCTAGTCCCCCTTCTTCTTGGCCATTCATCATCAGGCAAGCACCTACCTTTTCAGGTAGGCTTTTAAGCAGTAGTAGGGGCTTTAGAAATCTGCTGTCTGTTTTTATAATGTTTGCTTGTAAATTATAATAGTTTAAAAATATTGTTACATGCTTTATTTTTTTAGTATGTGCTCTATAGTATTTTCAAATAGTGATTATTATATTATTTTAGTTGACTATAAGCTGCCTTGAGTCCCCTAACAAAATACAATAAAATATGCAAATAGAGGATAAACATAGTACAGTGGTGCCTCGCTTAACTAGTACCTTGTTAAACGACAAAACCGCCTGACGATGAGGTTTTTGTTACTGCTTTTGCTAAACGACGATTTTAAAACAGCTGATCGGCGGCTCTCAAAATGGCTGCCTGCTGTGCAAAATGGCTCCCCGCTGTTTTTAGGATGGATTTTTTGCTGCACAGGCACCAGAAAATGGCCGCCTTATGGAGGATCTTCACTGGACAATTAGGTATTTAGCCCGTTGGAACACATTAAGCAGTTTTTACTGTGTTTCAATGGAGTTTCTTCCCCGCTTGACGACGATTTTGCTCTACAGTGATTTCACTGGAACGGATTAACATCGTCAAGCGAGGCACCACTGTATAATTTTCCAACATAGCCAGTAGGGAAAAATCAGACCTCTGGGTGACAGTCCAAAATTTGTGCTATTATGAAGTAATCCAGTTATAACAAAAAAAAGTTTAATTGTCTAAATGGCAATTCGTTTCTCTCCCCAACCCTATTTATACTAACAGTATTACTGCTATTATGTTGCTCTAAGATTCCAACTACAGTATCTACAATCAAATAAGAGAGAGAAAGACACACAAAGAGGGTTAGAGAGCATGAGATAATTAAGACAGGAACATTTAATAAGTATTTTAAAAGCTCCTGCTCTGGTTTGCAGGGCTTCTAAGAATTATACTCCTTTCAAACATTAATTTAAGGCAGAATTTTCTTCTGACCTCTTCACATAGCCTTTCTAAAGTGCCTTCTGGCAAAAGACGAAGTTCATTACAAAACTCTTCAGCCTTATTATAAAGTAGAACTTCCAACACATAAGATGAAGCAAGATTATCTCTTAAGTAAGATTTAAAATATCTTAAATTTCCCTTGCTTGTGTAAAACTTCGCTTTTCTAACCTACTACTGCCATTCAAAACAAACAATAGTAAAAATTAGTTATGAAAAAAACAGTTTGATAGGAAATAACTGTTTGATATTTCTGCATATGGTGAGAACATGCAGGCGAATGACGCTGAGTGTTTCAGAGATCGTTTCGTTCATTTAGTCGTGTCCGACTCTTCGTGACCCCATGGACCAGAGCACACCAGGCCCTCCTGTCTTCCACTGCCTCCCGGAATTGGGTCAAATTCATGTTGGTCGCTTCGATGTTCAAACATCTCGTCCTGTCGTCCCCTTCTCCTCTTGCCTTCACACTTTCCCAACATTAAGGTCTTTTCCAGGGAGTTCTCTCTTCTCATGAGATGGCCAAAGTATTGGAGCCTCAGCTTCAGGATCTGTCCTTCCAGTGAGCACTCAGGGTTGATTTCCTTTAGAATTGATAGGTTTGTTCTCCTTGCAGTCCAGGGGACTCTCGAAAGCCTCCTCCAGAACCACAAATCAAAGGCATCAATTCTTCGGCGGTCAGCTTTCTTTATGGTCCAGCTCTCACTTCCCTACATCGCTACTGGAAAAACCATAGCTTTGTCTATTCGGACTTTTATTGGCAATGTGATATCTCTGCTTTTTAAGATGCTGTCAAGGTTTGTCATCGCTTTCCTCCCAAGAAGCAGGCGTCTTTTAATTTCGTGGCTGCTGTCTCCATCTACAGTGATTATGGAGCCCAAGAAGGTAAAATCTGTCACTGCCTCCATATCTTCCCCTTTGAGAGATAGCATGTGACATTTCTTGCTACTGTGCAGGCACTCAGAAGCTGCAGAAAGAGAGTGCCAGAGTCAGTCAGTGTCAGTGCGAGTGAGAGTTTGAATGAACTTTGTGACCGTGTTTCTTCTTCAATTTCTGCTAATAAAATTATTGGTTATTGTTGGGTAGCGTGACTTTTTCAGATATTACTACAGTTACTTTTCTAACAATACATTTTGGCTGAGCTTCAGAATCGGAAAAGTAAAAGAACTGATGCTGCTGATGAGGTTGTATCCTGTTCAAAGCAAAATGAAGCTTCTTCCAGTCATCTTAAAAGTGTTGCCATTGTATCGATGAGTATCTGTCAATGAATAAACCCTTCATGAGACACTTTAAATAAATATTTGATGCACTTTAGGTTTTTAAATCTTGAGTTAAGTCTTGGTGATGCGCGACAACAAAAAATATTTAAAGGAGGTCTGGGGTAAAGAAAAGGTTAAGAACCACTGCACAAAAACATTATGCCTGTGAGCACCAGATGCTGGTAACATAATTTTCATAATTTTCCATCCCTACTCATGTGTTACCAGGGTCTCCATGATAGCAAAGTATCAACTACACACATTCTAGGCCAATTCAGAAAGATAATTCTTATGTCTTCAACTCCTGCAAAACAAATCTTCTTCCATTCATAGCCCCCAAACACCCAGCAACAATAACAAAGACATACTTGGATAGCTGTATTCCTATAAGGTGTACAAGGCTGATCTTTAAAACTTGGCACACACTATGTTCTCCTAGTAAACAAGTAGGATGTAGATTATATTAAGTATTTCAGTTAACAGTGATAAAGTAAATTGCAAATTCTTTCAACAAATGACCTAGCTGCCTTAGGTTGAATGCAGTTGCACAACAAGTGTTTGGTGTAGAGATACCTCCAAGCTGCCACTTCGGCTCACAATTACTATGCCGAAGTACAGGAGGAGACAGCATAAATAAAATTAGGTCACTGAAAGGCACATCAATTTGGACTAGACCAAGGTAAGCAGCTCTTAGCAAAAAGGAAATAACACAACTCACCCACATACTGCTCTCAGAATCTAAACATGTTTGCCTAGAAAATGCAGCATTTATTTTCAAGAAATATTCTTTGCTGACTTTAATGTATTGCTATAAGTAAGACAACAGACACTCACAGCTCCACAAGGTTTGGAAGTTTCTGGGCAAGGTTTTCAGGCTGAAAGAGAAGATTTTAATGTTTTAGTTCAATTTTAAAGAAACAAACTCTTAACTGCTACTTAGTGAATAAATGCATGAAATTCAAAGCAAAACAAAGGCACAGCTCTGTGCGCCAAAACCTCAAAGAATACCACAAAGTGGAGATTTGACAGCCAAGTCTGCCCTAAAGCCTAGGCTGGAAAAAGAAAGCAAGCATGATTGACACAATAAGAGTAAGAGAATGGCCATTCTCGAAGATTAAAATCCCCACTGAAAATTCCGATTTTGTTATAATAATAATTACATGCCATCAAGTGGATTCCAACTTATAGGTACCATTTTTCAGGGTTTTCTAGGTAGAAAGTACTCAGAAGGGCTTTCCCATTGCCCTCTTCTGGAGGTACCTTTGCACTGTGCACTTTGTCCAAATCTGGCTCTTTTCCTGGGACACACACTTAAACTCTGGCTGTGCAGCCAGACAGCTAACTCATAACATAAGGCAAATAAATAACATAACTCCTATTGGAAACTTCAACAGTTAGTCAGTCTGAAGACTTTTTTAATTTCCAAAAAAGGCAAACAAGATAAAGCAACATATAAGCAACATATTTATTGCTGCATAAGCTTTCCTGAACTAGAAGCCACACATGTGTTAATCTAAGGGACCACAAAACACATAATACATGTGTTAATCTGAGAGACCACAAAATACTTTGATTTTGTTCCAACAGACTACAACAACTATTGCTTTGGAAACAACTGCACGACTGCACATCTCTAAACAAGACATAGATCTTCTAAAGCATTTTCCCCCTCAGAGAATGTATCAGTGAGCACGGTCACGCAATTTCTACTTGAAGCTTATGGTACTATTCTCTACCTGAGTCTTGTTCCACAAATGGCAGTCAGACACTTTCCCTGTTTATGTTGCTGGAGCTTGACTCCAACATAGATTTTCAAGGACTGTGGTTATTAAGGCAGGAGAGCAAGTCCAGTCTGTGTACTTCTCATGCTCTGATGCACATATGACAATGTGGAGCATCTTCCTTCATAGCTATCTATCTAGGAGAAAGGTCGTGCATGAAGTGACTGTACATTATACTAGATGTGCAGTATCTCTGATTCTAGTTTCACTGGAATAGGACAAATATTTGCAGGTTATTTCAGTACAAAAGAGTCAGTAATCCTTTTCAGGATGGTTTCTTTGACATTTCCAAAACAGAGGACTTAGCATATATATAGCATTCCTCGCAACGAGAAACACTACCATAATTCTTCTGCTTGCCTTCTCCAAAACATCCATGCTACACAAATCATGAGGGTGTTTTCTTTTCACATACTGAGGATTTTATATTAAACATATGAACCACACGAATACCCATCCACTGGGGAATTAGTGCTGAATACGTCTCCCAAAGCACTTTTGTTAAATAGCATCTGACATCCTTGCAATTTGGTACAAATACATATATTTGTAAACAGATGTAAGAGTGTAATGACGAAAGTGAAAATATTGTTTAGTCACATTTGCAACAACTGTATCAATTAAAACTCAACTTAAAGGGGATATTGTACACCTGCTGTTTTAATAAACTCAGGATTTCTTCATTTTTTCTTAAAGAGCAATATAAAACGTAGTATGTTAAATAGAAAGTCTTTAATCTCCATGATCCTGAAGGACTTCACTGAATCTGCTTGGAGGAATAATTCATTGGGGCGGGGGGGAAAGGCACTATAGGGTGTTCGCCTATTTATTTAATGCCTATGGAGCTAAAAAAAATCAACAGACAACAAGGGACTGATGCACCTAATTCTGTTTCTTCTATGGTCAGCTGACTGTACTAAAATATATTTCTTTCAAAATTTTCAACCAATATGCCATTTACAAATATCTACTTCTGAAACTGCAAATATGTTTAGCAGGACAGGATAATTCCAGTTCTTTTTATTAGTCAAAAGAATTCTGGTATAGTTTTGTTAAAAGACAATATTAAGGACGTACATGTTTGTTGCCATTATGTACTGCCAAATGACCTCCAACTTAAGGTGACCCTATTAATGAATGATCTCCAAAAATCTCCTCAGCAGCCCTTCTCAACACTTGCAAACTGAAGCCAGTGGCTTTGCTTAGGATGTCAGTTCATCTCATATTTGGTCTTTCTCTTTTCTTGCTATCTCCAACCTTTCCTAACATTATTGTCTTTTCCAGAATATCTTGCCTTCTCATGAGGTGCCAAAAGCAACACAGTCTCAGCTTCAACATGTTTGCCTCCAGAGATAGTTTAGGCTTGATTTAATCTAAAATCCACGTGCGTGCGTGTGCGTGTATTGTTTTTAAATGTGGCCGGTAGCCATATTAAATTCCGGGTATGGTTTACATACCTGGCCAGTAAATAAATATTTTTTTTTTGTCTTTCTGGCACTCCACAGTATCCCCAAAACTCTTGTCCAGCACCATACTGCTCTAACCACCCAGATGGGGGTTATAAAATGAAATAAATAAATAAATATTTCAAACAAATCAAATATTTTCCTGTCAGATTTCTTTACTGTCCTGCTTTCACACATGTACATAGTAATCGGGAATACAGTATTGTGGATGATCTTGGTCTTTGTCTCCAGAAACATTTAAATTTTCAAATGCAATATAAATGCTAAATAAGAGCAGATTAATAGAAATAATAAAGACAGAAAACACTATCCCAGAGTTATCGGACCAGTCTTTTGAATCTTCTTTACTCCATGAAATAAATGACTCTAGTAGTTACCTATAACTTCTTGATGGCTTCAACCAAGTCATGTAACATGACAGTTAAAATGTAGTCATGTCTCCTCTATAGCCACATTCATATCACACATCATGTATCTAGGATGCAACACTGTATCTAGGAGCTCACCCTGCAAATCAAATGTCCCTTCCTGCAAAATAACTTCCTTCAACCAGAATAATAGGAAATAGTATTTTTTTTAAAAAGTCTACGCCTCCACATGTTCATTTTCTACACATAGGGTCCTTCCTAATCCTGAGAGAACATTCGGTTATGCCAGCTTTCATGCGCTGTCTGAAGTGGTGCAGCTCAGTGAACACTAGATCTTTAATGAAGACACATTTCTAACCGCACTGCAGGAGTAGCAAATGAAATGGCTTTTAAAACAATACAGCTGGAACAACTAAATCACTATTTTAAAATCCATTTCTAACGTGATGATTTTTTCCCCTCATACTGAGGTTTGCTCCATGGTAAGAGGGTTTGTGGTCAGCATTTTGCAAGACCATGCTTTCTAAAGTAACTCAATGAGAAACAGTGAAAGACTAATATGAGCCAATGTCTGATGTTACTATTGGGAAAAGATTTAATCCTCACCATTGGACACCCCTACATACCTCTCTGTATAGATTCCCATGTAAGTGAAGAGGTGTCATTCACTTCTTTGAGGGGGGAAATGAAGTACTGCATGCAAAACAGCATCTTCCACACAAATCCTACCCATCACAATGACAAGCATTTTGTTGGTTATTCAATAATAAGCCATACCAAGGTGGTCAATGAATTTCTTTTCATATATAGTCTCTCCAAGTACTGCAGACCTTCATCCTTCAGTAGTTCTAAAGGAAACTGATGCAGATTCCGGTAGTTTAAGAATAAGTTCTTGTGCCTTTCTAGCTTTGCCTCTGATATGGTTTTGCAGAGTTCTGATGCCATGGCAGGTTCAGATCCAGCCACCATAATAAAACTTTACATGTTGTAGAAGAAGGCCATTTCTAATAAGGAAAAATGAAAGACAAACACTTTTTCAACAACAATATTAGTTCTGAATGGTCCAATAAGATATTGTGTAATATCTCTTACATTTCTGTAATTTTGGGGAACCACACAGCTTTTTCCTTATTCTCATTAAATCATTTCTCAAGGTATTGGGTTGGATCTGCTTTGGTGTTGCTTATGGTTTTTTTGTATGGTGTTTGCATGATTGTTTTTGGTATTGTTGTTAGTTCTGATACTGCCTTTTAATTATGTAAGTTGCCTTGGAACCTTTTAAGGAAAAAGACCAGGTAAAAAATTGTACACAATGATAAATACTCATCCTGTAATGATTGTCAAATTGGTGTCACCCATCTTTCTTTTTATTCAGTACTCTTAGTGTGCTTGTTTCTTGTTGATGATGGATTTGTTTTGGTTTTAATTATTTTTCCCTACTGCTTTCTGCTTATTTTTATTGTTACACATTGTATTTGCTTCATTTATCTGTTAACCTCCCAGAGTAGTGCCTTGCACTAACTGGGCAATCTAACCGTTGAAGTAAACTATAAATTAAAATAATAAATAAATACATTAGCTTTAATACTGTCTTTTAAAGATGCAAGCAACCTTGGGTCCTTTTTAAGGAGCAAAGTGGGGGTAAAAATATTATTTTAAATAAATAAATAACAGCAAAATTATCTTAACTAAAAAAACCGTTTTGACTAAAAAACAGAAAGGTAAAATTTCCATTTTTTTTCCTGGAAAAAAAAGTATGCATGTAAAGTTGACTGGATCGACTTAGAAATGGAAATTTCATTTTTTCCAACCTTGGGTCCTTTTTAAGGACCAAAGTGGGGGTAAAAATATTATTTTAAATAAATAAATAACAGCAAAATTATCTTAACTAAAAAAACCGTTTTGACTAAAAAACAGAAAGGTAAAATTTCCATTTTTTTTCCTGGAAAAAAAAGTATGCATGTAAAGTTGACTGGATCGACTTAGAAATGGAAATTTCATTTTTTTTCACAAAAAAAATTATTTTCCCCTTTTAAAAAATAGAAATTTTCGGAAATTAGACATATCTCTAAACGACGGTCGTCCAAACGCACCGGGGTCGGTCCTTTGGTCCCCCGGCTCTTGTTTAAATCCGGCCCAGGCCCTTCGGGGAGAGAAGCGTGAAGCGCGTAACTTCCCTCCTCGTCGCTATAGCAACCACGCCTTTCTACGAAGAGCGGAGGGAAGAAAAAAAAAGCCAGGGCTCCCTCTTCGCCCCCTAACCGCCGCTGCCCCCTCAGAGGACGAAAAAAGGCCTCCCCGCTTACCTGCCTTGACCGCCTGAGGCGACCGCGGGGCGTGAGGGTGACAATTCTTTTCCCCCCCCCTCCACACACATACACACACCGGCGCGCGCAACAGGAAGGCAAGGGAAAAAAAAAACAACGGGTCGCGAGAAGCCCTCAGGAACATCAACATCCGGGGATTCGGGGCGGGGCAAGGGAAGAAGAAGGAGGAGGCCAGAAAGAGAAGGCACCGATTGGAGGAGAGAGAGGAGGGGGAGGGCGGGGAGTCGCGGTTCGCGCGAGAAAGGCTGCCTGTCAATCTTACGCGGGCGGGGCGGAGCCGGCGCGCCCGCCTTTCCTCGCGCCGCTCGCCAACGGACACACAAAAAATACCAACCGCCGAAGGAGGCGGGGCAGGCCCGTGACGCTCCGCTCCTATTGGGCGCTCGGGTCGTTTTTTTCCCCCGAAGGCCACGCCCACACGCTCCCCTCTCTCGCTCTCTCTCTCTCTGAGGCGCTAGGGCCGTCCTGAGGGGAATGAGGGCATACATCTATATTATAAATCGCCTTGGGTCCTTTTAAGGAGAAAGGCGGAATAAAGATATACCCCACATACATGGGTCCTTTTAAGGAGGAAGTCGGGGTAAACATACTTTAAGTGAAATAACCATTAATAAATATATGCTTGGCACATTTGTATAGCTCAAGACAGTGTTCAGGGCAGCTTTCAAACCCAGAACCCAGAATTGCAATATAATATATAACAATGGTGGAGAAAGCCATCAGCGCAATAAAGTTCCAAACGATCTGCAGCAGAAGAATATCAAAGCCGTGTCTGTATTACCATTTATTTTGGTTAGCCCTAGGGCTTGCTAAAAAGAAAGAAAGAAAGAAAATAGGTGGATTTGCTTTGGAGATCTGAGAAATAGTCTCTCGTTTCCTGACAGTTAAGAAAATGAGTCTGCAGGAGGAATATAAAGAATACTTACTATTTTAACTCTTAATTCTGTTTTATTAGAGTTCCTTTTAAAAAAGAAAGAAAGAAGGATAGCTGGCTAAAGGTAAAATTAACATTTACTTTCTGGTCTTGATGTCACCATTTTCTCTACAGGACTGCCTGGGGCAAGTCAATCTGTAAAACTTCCCACAACAACAGAGTTACGACTAGGTTCTGCTTTGTTTATATCCTAGTGCGCAAGCCAAGTGTAAAAATGAGTGATGGGAAATCTGATCTTGCAAGTGGTAAGAAGACAGGGAGTTATTCCTGTCCAGTAGCTGGCATCAAACCATGTGAAGACCTCATGCAAGGCATGCCAACCTCTGCTCCATAGTCACTGTTATTCTTCACTCTTAAAAGCAAGAATAAATGGGAGATGTTGAACCCTGTCCAGCAATTTCTTATTTCTATAAACTTTCATGGTTCTTTCCTTGGTGTGTGCTGTCAATTCAATTCTGACTCACGGCAATCCTTTTTTCCCAGGGTTTTCCAGGTAGACAGTACTCAGAAGCAGTTTGCCATTCCCTTGATATGATAGGATAACACGTTTCAAATACTTGAAAGGCTGTCATACAGAAGAGGGGCAGGATCTGTTCCCAATCATCCCAGAGTGCACGACGCAAAACAATGGCCTCAAGTTACAGGAAGCCAGATTTTGGTTGAATATCAGGAAAAACTTCCTAACTGTTAGAGCAGTACAACAATGGAACCAATGACCTCCGGAGGTGGTGAGTGCTCCAGCACTGGAGGCATTCAAGAGAAATTTACCTGGCTTCCAACTTCACTATTCTATGATTCTGTTTTTGTGGGGGGTGGACTTGATGGCCTAAAAGGCCCCTTCCAACTTCACTATTCTATGATTCTGTTTTTCTTGTGGAACTATCCTGGGACTGTGCAGTTTGCTCAAGGTTGGTTCTTCTGAAATGCCCAATGGGGAAATGAACTCCAGCCCTTGGCTTCACAGCCAGATACCTGACTGACTGTTCTCTCCAGCCAGCTAATTATTTGCAAATTTGTTCTTCTGAAATGCCCAATGGGGAACTGAACTCCAACCCTTGGCTTCACAGCCTGACTGACTGAGCTCTCCAGCCAGCTAATTATTTGCAAATTTGCAAATTGCAAATAATATCTGTAATCTCGAACTGTGGGTGTTTTATAAGCCTATTCGACAGATTTTAGTTCTTGTAGATGTCAAATTCATGTTACATTTCTTGTCATTTTCCTATTAGTGCAGCTATAGTAGGAAGGAAGGAAGAGAGAAAGAGAATTATATTTTAGATCACAAGAGGAAATGAATGTTTTCCTTTAGCCATCTCCTGTAGACTTAAGACATTGTTTTATGATGGAAACACCCAACCGCTTCTTTCATAACTTTAACATCTGATGTTTTCCACAGTCTCACCCATTGTGAACTGAAAATGAGTCTGGTCAAATTTCCCTGGCTTCTCTTTTACGCTATTCAGCTCTACAAAGGTGTTATAATGACAAAAGGTTATGATTTTTAACATTACAATCCACTCTTCTTCCAAGTTTCAAAAAAATAAAATCCACTTACTTTTGTTCTAAATGTTTGATAGGATTACCATGAGAATGAAATAATTTGTCTTTTCAATTATATATATATTTGCTTTGCTTTTCCAGTAAATTGTACGTAGAAGGATCGATAATTGATACATTCACATTCTCATTTTGCTTATGTTGGCAGGAAATTTCCCTGTCTCTATTTCATTAGTATCACATACAACATTATCATATTCTTATTAAAAATGCCTCTTTGTTTATCTTTGCAATGTTCAGATTATCTTGCCGAAAAATGGAATGGTTATAACTTTGACCATTAAAAATAGATGAACTGTCAATGTTGTTCAAATGGATTCGAGTGTTTTAAAAGCCAAACTTTAAACAGTTCTTCACAATGGAGAGCAGGTGGCGCTCCTCCATACCTAATGGCTAATAGTAGGCACCATTAGGACTTTTTACAAAATAATCCTGGGAGTCCTGAATTTGCTCATGGCTCAAGGGCTCCGGAAGGGCTGTTGTTTTGTTTTAAACACGTCATTCTTGCACAAGTGAAAATTGTTCCTTCTCTGCAGCTATATGCGTGCTTTGCTTTGCTTTATATGTCCAAGTGAGGAAGAATGTCCGTCCAATTCACATATACTGTACTGTACATATTTAGCAACCTTTGCTCTCAAGTGATATGCAGCTTACCTCATTTTTGTGAGCTGCACAATAGGTGCCAAGAAAAGGCTGAGCAATGTTCAAAGCCTTCTGTTTTCAATGTACCAGAGAGAGTATTAAATGCAGGCAAGCTAAAAGTAGGGTGACCAATCAGTGGTGCAGGAGCCAACTTCATTCCGATCTAGGTACTCCGAAAAGTTCCAGTTGGGGCATCTGAAACCAGTTTATGATATGTCTACAATCCTTACTAGTAGAAGATCCCAACTTTATTAAAACCATGGCCTTCCATGAGGGAAGTGGCTAGTTCTGGCTAACAGGCTACTGTTTGCAGAACAAACTGTTGCCCGAGAATGCAAACGTTGAACACCCCTGAACATGAGAATAGAGGGGGAACTGAACTGAAGATTTAAAAATCACCTGAAACCAAACCACAGGACTGTCAATGCAAAAGGAAAAGTGACTGTAACTTTTCCAATGACTGGCACAGATCTGTCTTTTTTTTAAGGACAGGGGCTAATCCTGAAATCCTAGGCAGATTTTGCTGGCAGGAAAACCCACCTCACACAGGAGACTCAGTTTCTGAATAAGCCTGCCCATGAGTGCACTCCACACTCCAAGCTGCAGTTGCTTTCCAACTCATCTTCCCTGCAGTATGAAAATAAACCAAGCTCGGCATGCCGAAAAGGCCACTGACAGACTTTATACTAACACTTTCTCTGAGCACAGAAAAAAGCCCTGAAGTCATTTCACTTTTGTTTACACATTTTACATAAACGATATTCGGATAGAATCTCTTGTAAAGGGAGGGCAGAGTGTTCTTCACTGTAAACCTTTAAAGGCCAACATGTAAAACGGAGGTGGAGATGGGGCCGCCTTGTTTGGAATTGTTTAGCTCTCATTGCCATGCCTTTTCAAGGTTGTGTACTTCTGAAAGTATTCAGCGGCAGACTCTGCATGTCCCATGACAAATACTGGAAGGGCACTTTATTTAGATACTGTACTCTCTCTTACCACCGTTTGCAGCAGGTACAGACTCTATCAGGAGGTTGTATTTTAAAGCATCCTTTGGAAGACTCAATATTTCGGGGGGGGGACCCACAGAAAGAATCCTGCATGGTCCTTCTAGAACACAAATGCAGGAGTAGCTGATACCTTTATTACACCACTAATTTTTTTTTACAAAAAATTGGACAGTCAGCAAGCTTTTGTGGGCCAAACCACTTCCTCAGGCTGCACATCCTGGGAAGGATGGAATATTTTAACTTGTTGGCACATTTTTGGATCTGAGTCCCGAGTTCAAGTCCAAGTCTTTGGTACCAAGCCCTGAGTCCATATTAAAATAAGCTCTTTTACCCAGAAAAAAGGGAAGGAGGGGAGGGTTACACGTTACGCGTCGAGTCCGAGTCATGGGGGGGGAATCAGAGTCAAGTCCCTCATGGGACTTAAGTTTGACTTGTCCGTGAGTCCCACAATTTGAGTCTCATCCCTGATAAATAGCTGTTAGAGCAGGGCTGGAAAACCTGTGGCCCTCCCCATGTTCTCAAGCTTCAGTGGCCACCAACACTTAGTGTAGTCAGTTGGCAGAGTTACCCATCTCAAGAAGGCCATAACCTATTTCTGCATTAGACCCACAGAAGTCTCTGTCATCCTTTATACCTGCCAATTGTTTTCTCCTTTCCTTTCTCTTTTAAATGATGGAACTAAAAGAAATTTATGGAGGTCCTACCAAGGCTGAGCGGTCCTAACCCGCTAAGACCATATTTTTAAAAATTCCACCTGCACCCGGCCCTCTGCTTTGTTCTCATGGAACAAAACACTGGTACCTAGTATTATCTTCAGAATAAGGTGAGTAGAAAATACAGTAGATCACTAATAGCATAATGGTGTGAAAGGCAAGGAGGCACTAATCATAGACTGAGTAGCTGAGCAGGTGTATTCTTCCTATTTCCATTCCAAGAGAGACAAGGACCCTCCCCTCCGCATGATGCAGTTTTGAGTCATTGGAGAATTACAGTTTGTAAAT